AGAGAGAGAGAGAGAGAGAGAGAGAGAGAGAGAGAGAGAGAATATGACAAATATTTATTTATCAATAGGTTTGTATGGAAAAGCTTACTGTGATCATGTGTTTTGCTTATTCACCCCTCCCCTGTGTTCTCGCTGTATAGTGTATAGATGTTGTGTATGTGTGTGTGTCTGGGCATTAGTGACCTATTGAAGTTTAGTATAGAAGTGTATATTAACCAGCAGATATTTACCTCTGTCTCTCTTTCTCTCTCTCTCTCTCTGCTCTGGTGCATTTTCTCTTTGCTGAAATACTTCAAACTCCCTCCCTCCCCTCATCCCTCCGTCCTCCTGTTACTCCTCCCTAATTTCCCAGGCGCTTTCAAAGCCCGGGGCTTGACATCTGTCCCCGTGGTCAGATCAGGGGCTGTTACAGGGTTATCCCTTCCTGAAACATCAACCCCGTACTGCAGTCCGTTTGGTTCCACCCTCGCTCCCTCCTTTGGTGCACCTTCTTACACTTTTGGAGCTGCTAAACCTTCCAGTGAATCTCCCTTACCGTCCTATTCCACGAGAGTTTCTCATTCTGGCTTAAACATGCTTCAGGCAGCTCAGGTGGCTCCCCCATGTTCAGGAACCGGAATGGTACAATCCGTTTCTATGGGAGGGAGTCCACAAATGGGACTGAGCATGAACCCCTCCTTTGGAGGACTGGGAATGGTGCAGTCTGGCTCTCTGGTGGGGATTCCTTTGACAGACCCCCTCTTAATGGGAACAGGAATGGGTCAGTCCAGTTTCTTTGGAGGGAATTGCCAGACAGGGGGGGCTCACTTGGGAGGTTCCACTCCACAGGCCGGGGGGAGAGTCCCCTTCCAGCCACAGTTGCTCTCAGGCAATGGGTCGGGTGACACGGTGAACAAAAACAACAATCCATTCCTGTTCTGACAGCTTGACATGGAATATGTCCTGCCAGATACATGTATAAGATTAAATGACCGCAATTGGTAGTTTAACATGTTTTGGCCCTCTCAACCATTTTTCCAATTATAGCCCAAATACATTCGATTGCTTTACTACGTATCTTCAAGGCAGTCATTGAGTTTTACGTCATAATATTTTGTCAGCCTTACAATATAATCAAATGGTATTTAATTTTTCTTGTAGGCAGGGACTGTCAGGACAACTCGTATTGGTAGACTTGTAAAAAACGATTTTGTGAATTTGGCCATTTCTTGAATTGAAATGTTGTTTTTCAGCGACCGACTCTTAAAAATCAGATGTCAGAATATGTCCTTGAATGCACCAAGAAAGAGGACTAGTTTATAAAACGTATTTAGTTGTGAGAGTCCCTGCTCCTCTGATTCACGCTGTGACAATGACATAATGGGTGGTATGAAATCACAGGCAGGCTGGTGAACCTTGTATGCTATACTTTTGGAAAATGAGCAGTAGCAACGTTCATACAACTCGTAAGGCTAAAACATGCAGAAACACTTTTATAATCCTTTAATTAAACCCGTCAGCTCCTCCACTTACCTCCCCTTGAGATCTACACACGTCCAAATAAAATGACAGCCACGGTTAAAATGTATGCAACATAGTATAATATAATAACAGAAACATACACAAAACGTGTGTGAAAGGTCCGTATGCTTCTGTTTCAATGCACAAGTGTGAGAAGCAGAGAGCATCCTGAGTGTGTGTCTATGTGGAAATACTGAAGAATTACTGTTGACGTGAGTGTTGACCTGTAAAACATTGACAGAGCTGATGTGGGGAAGACGTCACTGTAGGTTTTCATTTATGTGTGTGTTTGTACAAGGAGTGTGTGTGTGTGTGTGTGAGACCTGCACGCACGCAGTACGTGTGTGTGTGTTCAGTATATATTGTGCTGATGTAAATAGTGGAAGTAATCACAGATAAACCTTGAAATATACTGTATATTAGAGTGTTACAATCATGAGTAACTATTTATTGATCTATTTATTGATTGGTTGATTATTTATTGATGCAGCAACGGCCTCCAACAAAGACGAGTTCGGGTTAGCTTTCTTTACAGTGTCGTCGTCATCGAGACGGGTTGACCGGATTGTATTGATAAGATTTCAAGCATGATTGGCTCCAAGCTGACTGTTCAAACACGGCGTTATCAATCAACTCAGTAACCAATGGTGGCTTTTCTTTCTTCCCTGTTTAGATTTGTAGTCGTTCTGGATTCATTGTGTAATTGAACATGTCCCCGCTGTACCTCCTGAAACAGAAATGTGTTACTGTGTGATGTTTAGCTGCAGTGTTGGCTGAATAAAGTCTGAATTTGAACATACCAACCTCTTTAATGTGCATGCAGTCTGAGCCGATCCTCCTCTGTAAGTGTGTGTGTGTGTGTGTGTGTGTGTGTGTGTGTGCCCCTCATCTATTTAGTGTGTGAGTGGCTAATGACATTTCAACACACACCTGCATCTCTTTATGTTCTTCTACGAATGAAGATACATGTGTTGAGAGGTTTTGACTGAGAAAACATGAACAGTAGCAGAGTTCACTGTCGTTTATGAGACGTGGAAACATCACAGCTCAGTTAATCAAAGCCAGACACGACCAATGAGGCGTCTAAGAGGTCACTCAGTTTTGAATTGTTGCCGTTGTTTGTGTTTTATGGGCCTCGTCGCGTCTTTTGTGTATTTTTTTTTATATCTTTTAAATATGAATTTTGGTGGAAGATTTGACTGAAAGGATCTTTGAGTTATAGGAGGAAGATGAGAAACTAGCCCAAAATGCTATTAGTATGATTTCCTCTCATATTTAATTTTGTATGAAATTAATTAATTTAGCTGTGTATTTAAACTTAAAGCTGTGTTGTAAACTGTGACAGTATGCAGTACATTTGAGAAATAAAATGATACAATAAGTGACCTGCTGACTGTGTTTGTTCAGCTCTGTGGCTTTTCTGTGTGTCACATTTTCTGCTGCATATTTTCTGAAATGTTAATTTTTAAACTGATTTGTTTATTGTTTATTGGGGATTCCTTTGAGCAACACTTTCTTACAACCCAATAAACTTACCGGCTGTCACCACAAGAGGGCCATAAATACACACATTTAGACATTATTGCAGTCACTGGAATGAGATGCTTAATGAACCACCAGTTGATATCACTGTTATTTACATATGTTTTAATTATTAAACATTACATAATATAATATATTGCTGAAGGGTAATACATTCTGCGTAATTGATGTAAAATAAATGACTGAAGTAATTGATTTAGTACATAATAAAACGTCTATGCACACAAACTGAGAATTCACTTTTTACAGAAGTAGGAGACTTGTATACTTCTGATGAAACCAATAATTAGGTATTAAGAGATTCTGTATTTCTTATTGAGAGAGAAGGACTATAGATGTTCTTTTAAGAATGTTTAGGTTTCTTCAGCTTTTTGGCAGAAAAACATATGAAACACAAAGTATGTGAACATAAAAAGCTGTGTTTTTGATAATGTATGAATTACTAAACGGGCTAATTGGTCACAAGCAAAGGGGCCCAACGTGTCAGGAGCCTCTCTGGTCTTCACCGACAAAATGCCACTAAAACAGACACCAAACAGGAAGAGACTCGATATGACCAAAATATAAAATAAAATAACTAATAAAACAAACAAAAGACTACAAAGAGACGCAAAACAACTAAAACAAGACGATAATAGACTGACAACGAAAAGGGGCAAAACAACAACAAAGTGACTACAAAGACACACAAGAAGACTACAAAGAGACCAAAACAACTACAAAGAATTAAAAGAGAGATAAAATGATAACAGAGACTCACAATGCCAATAAAATGAAGGAAAACAATCACAAAATGACTATGAAGACACATATAACAACTACAAAGAGAGACAAAACAATAACAAAGTAGAGGAGGTTGGGTCTTTTGCATGTCTGTGCTCAGGGGTCCACTGTCTCATATTCTGCTCTTGAAACATGTCTGGAGAAGATCTCCATCTAAACTCTGTATTATTCATTCATGTACTCACTGTATCTCCTCAGTGATTCAGGAGAGTAAGGGGAGTGGAGTCAGCCACACAATTTGATGAAAAGAGGAGGAAGCGTAGGATTGGCTCTGAGCCTCCCCATTGATGCTGAGAGAGCTTAGTGTCTAAAAACAGAAATGGGGGAGATTGGGGATTTTGATAGTTAGTGAGCATGTGCTACATTAGGACACAATGGTCAGTTGAGTCCTTGTGTTGCCTTTTTGTGTTTTACAGAAGTAAGTCGGATTACATAATGCACTCACTCAACAGTTCTCATTTACAGAGAATAAACATAAACTCCTGCCTGTCTAAACATATTGTCTTGTTTTTCCTCACCAGCACACCTTTGCTCACCAGCAGCTTTGAGTGATTAAACATCTAATTTGTCAAAATTCCCATCACCTGACCTTCCCCGCCCACATTCTCACCTGCTCCCCATTTCCTTAATCAGCCTCCCAGTATAAATACACCGGCCCATCTCCACTCTTTCCCAGTCAGATTCATACATTAAAGGATGCACACGAGAGTTGAACCCACAACCTCTCTAGTTGTGGGAGTGCTGCATATTTTTGTAGGCCAATGGGATTTTTTATTTGGATTTTGGATTATTGCAGAAAATAAACTAATATAAATGTTCATGATACACGTTTTGTTCAGCAGGATAATCTTCACAGCTGAAGAACACTTTGATGATTTGTGAATACAATCGTCAGAATAAAGCAAGCGCTATAAGGTCACGTGACTTCACGTCATCACCACTAAGCTAACTAGTTGGCGTGATGATGTTTTGTAGTCTCATTTAGCCGCTTGTTAGCAACCACCTTTTTTTAGACACGTAAAAACGTCAAAATTAGCAAGAGGGTAATTTACTGATGTATTTTATATCGTAGAACAAAACGTTAAAATCTCTTCAGCTTGTGTTGACCACCGATCTTATTTCAGACATCAAACCAAACACACATTGAAATAACCCGTCGACTTAGAGACGAGGGAATCAGAAGTGCAACATAGCTGCTGACTCAATACTGGGTTTGAGGACTCATTCCTGCAGCGCTTTGTTAGTGTCGCTCTATCGGCCTTTGCTTCAAACCTTAAATATATCTCAACAACAGTTGGATAGATTTCAATGAAACTTTGCACGGACATTCAGGGTTCCAAGAGGGTGAATCCTACAGAAGCTGTTGATCCTTCTAGCGCCCTCATCAGTTAAACATCTGTTTAACTGATGTGTTCTTCAAGTTGTATAATGTATAAGATTTTGAGTACAATAATATTTGCATCACTTATAACATTTAAAAACATATATTTTCATTACTTTACAAGACATTTTGGTCTTTTAAAAATAAATGAACACTACACCAAAACTCACATCGATTATGTTAATTGGGAACCATGTCATCCAATAATTAGGTAATAATAACCTCCACTTAAGAACTACTGAAGGTTGTTTTTATAGAGTTTGTTTCTCCACCTTTAGACTTTCATTGGGTGTTTCAGCTTCTGTGTGTGCAAATGCACTTTTTTGGAGATTGGCAGGACGTTCAGCTGCTAACTAGGATCAACTTGGGGAATGAGGTTGTGGACTTCTCATCTTCTCTCCGGTGTACTTGGCTAAATACTTGTATTTGTCCATTAAATGGCTTGTATTATAAATATAGATATGTATATACTTTGTATCTGTTGTTCTACCGGAGCCGAGCAAGAAAACCTACAAAGTTGGAACAAACTGTTCCAAACATGCTGTCGCTGTTTTACCAATCAGAGATTCAAAGCAACGACTTTCGAGGCATGATTGCCTAAAGCCAGCAACTGTGCATCCTGCACAGCTGTACTCGTTTGCGTTAAAACGGGTTGAAGTTTAGAGAGCGACAACGCTGACACACTCATCTCGATCCAAGCTGTTCCATACCATATCATCAGATTAATCACTATAGCAGCAGAGGTCAGGAGGGTTACGAGTGAGCGAGCAGGAGAGATGAAGATAACGAGAGAGGGAGAGAGAGAGAGAGAGAGAGAGAGAGAGAGAGAGAGAGAGAGCTGTGGATGAATAGACACACTATAGAGAACAAACGGGAGGGAAAGTAACAGATGGACTTGTGAGGATTAGAGGAATCTGGGTGGGTTTCTGATGGAAACTCACCCCAAGACGGAGGAGGGAGTGATGAGGGAGCGCAGAAGAAAGGTGAAGGAAAAACCGAAGCCCCATTCGAGGAGCGGGGAAAGGAAACACAAAGAGTCTCAAACATCGGTGAGTCGTTTTCTGAGTTTTTACTTTGACTCTTGAGCGTAAGCTGATCAAGACTTGAGCTTGAGCAGCAGCTGGATTTTTCCAATCACACGCAAAGATTTCAGTTTATCGTGATCAGCCGATGCAAAGCATTAAAGTGTGAGGATTTTTTCATGTTTCTGTACCCACAAAGACTACCGACTAAAGTCACTAAAAATGCATGTTCTGTATGCTGGGATAGTAGATTGAGTTCCTGTCTCAAAGTTGTTTGCTTGCAACAGTTAACCTGTCAGCTGTTGGTAAAATGTACAGGTGTGTGGAGACATTAAGTCTACACATGCACAGTCAGCAAAAGCAGAACACAATACCATACGGATTATAGTTTCACACCAGGAGATGATTTGATGGAACAAATTAAAGTCCGATGGTTGAACATAGAACAGAGCAGACATAGAAGAACGACTTACTTCTGGCATTAGTAAATCAGAATGTAGTGTTTATGTTTAAGACAGACGGATCACATGTTAACTTAAATCTCATTGACTCTGGTCTCTCATTACAAACTCAGGCTGTGCTGCCGAACATTATTCAAACCCTCAGAACTTTGTTTAGAATTGCAGTAGACGATCGGAGTTTCCAAAGATAACAAAGGTTGAATTTTTAGGTCTTGGATTTGTGTAACATGATGCACAAGACTTATTGGAATATATATTATATATTATAAGAATATTTTGAATGTCTGACTCACCGTAAAATTCATGTAGCTTCATTGGAGAACACAGAGTGTTTAAGTTACTGCCAGAAACCGTGGAATGAGAGGATTTTCCAACTTTAAAACCACTGAATAGCATAGACTGTATTTACGAAGTGGATCTAGTCACTGTGACGTCACCCATTGCTTTGTGGACTCGAGGTTTGAAGCCTTGAGTTTGGCATTTTTGTCCGTCTCCATCTTGGTTTTTGTACGTCTTGAAACTAGAGATTGAGACCATAAACTCATGTTCACAATGTTTACTGAGGTAATAAATCAAGAGAGAAGTAGAGTCATTTTCTCATAGACTTCTACACAACCAGAGGAGTCGCCCCCTGGTGGACACTAGAGAGAATGCAGCTTTAACACACTTCAGCATTGGAGGTTGCTGCCCGCTGGAGGGGGATGAACTGATATGATGCTGCAGATGGACCTTATTTTGCACTGCATGATATGTACCTGGAAGCCAAACTGTTAGTTAAAGCCACTTCAGCCTCAGCTGAATTTTACTTGGAAATCAAAACACTTCCCCCAAACTTCTGTTTTAAACCTCCTTTGAAAACAAATTCAGATTCAAGTTTTATTGACTAGCGACCATGTTAACAGGTTCTGGAGTAACAACATACAACAGCAACACAATAATGTTTCGTGACTCAGCTGTTCATCTCTTAATCTCCCTTCTTTACTTTCAGGTGGTCGTCCCGACAAAGACGGCATGAGATTCACTTGACATTAATCTCATTCACCGAACCCTGCAAGATTAACCCAGATTACCAGGCCCAGAGGTAGGCCTGAGATACCGGACTAATCAATCCTTCGCCAGCTCAATCCCTCCTGGAGAGGTGGGAGAGGTTGAAGAACGGGATGTGCCCTGAGAGCGCGACTGATTAGTCGCAAAATCCGCAGGATAAAATCAAGACGTCTATCTTTATCCGAGCGAAGAAAAAGTCGTAAAAAAAATAAAATAAATGAACAGAAGAGGATCTGAGACGTGGAAACATGTGGTAGAGTCGCAGCTCGGTGACAAGAAATGTGTGGAGTCAAACGTGTCGCCTGGCTTGTGCCGTAACATCAAGAAGAAAGGAAGGTCTCAAATTTGATTCTGATGAACTACTTACGTGAGTTTCTTTGACTGCAACTGGAGCAGTGGAAGAGCCGGAGTTCCTCCTGCAGCCTCTGACCTGCACATCTGTCTCTGTCTTACTCCGCTGGAAGTGATTAAATCCCACGCATTTCATCTTTCTCTGCTCCACTGTCCTCTGACCTCCGCCTGTCGACTGTTCTCCTACTTCAAGCTCCCCAACCCTCCCTCCAGCTCTCCACCCGACCTCTGACCCTAATCCCCTCTTTTCTCTCCTTTCCACCATCCTCCTTGAATCATTCTCAATCGCCACAACTAACCCGCCACGCTTCATCTTGGCTCGCCACTGTGGTGTCACGCAAAACCCGCCCGCTCCCGATTGGTCAACAGAACCTTTCTAACCCTCAAAGTGAAGCCGAAGCCGACTCTCTGGTCATAACTAATTTCTCCCAGAGTGTCCTCTTCGTGGCGAGAAGCAACAATGCTGGAGAACATGTCCAGACGTAACCGCTCCCTGCTGTCGCTTTCCCTCACCTCGCTGGCCCTCACGCTGTCCGTCTCGGCTTTCTGCACCTCCTATTGGTGTGAGGGGACGCACAAGGTGGTGAAGCCTCTCTGCCTGTCACCTGTCAAGTTGAAGAACTGCGGGCAGAACAACAGCCAGCCGTACACCACAGGTGAGGCCGGGAAACAAAGGCCAAGTTATCATTTCAGCACCATCAGGTACTCAAGTTTGACCAGATACTCACCAAACCCCAGAGGTTTGGTGATTTGCAAGCCTGTAAGTCTTTAGAAATTTAGTAGAAAAGTGAAGGATTTTTAGACATCTAGATTATAAACAACAGAATTTTAACATTAGACTTCACATCAATCAATTCGTTATGAAAATGCTGTTGAAACAACAGTTTAATATGAGGCGGATTTCGAAAACTAACTTTCACTTTTCAACGAAATGCAGCCCAGTTTAACCTCAGGCGTCTTTTGGCTGGAAAACACAAAATCAGTGTTTATTTGGGAACTTAAAAGTTCTAAATTCTATATAGCATATCCTATATATATAGTGCATGTGAGTGCCAGTGTGCATGTCCCACTATCTAACTGCCGTCGCTCTGCACTGCGCTCATGCTGTGCTGGTAACACAAACCCGACCCCACGCCGTCGCCATGGAAGCTTAACGTCCATTTTTCGGTCCCCCCAAGGTAAACACTGTTAGCTCTGCCAGCACTTGTTGCCGTTGTTAGCGCTGTTAGCTGCAAACTGCCAGCTCAGCGGTCGCCATGTTGGGAGCCATTTGGAGGCAATCCCCCAATGCTATGATATGAATTCAGCACCTTTATCTCACAATTGTGTCAAAGCAGCTTTCACTAATTTGGCCAAGAAGGGTAAGACAGTACATGTTTTTTTTTCATTTAGTACTTCTACCATTGTTTCAGTTCTGTTTGGTTGTTTGATTATTAGCAATCATATTTGGTAGAAAGTTTGGACATAATTCAAAGCATGGTGTGGATCCAGTAAGTATCAATCCAAAGACTCTCCCTGTGACTTTGGTTTCTTTATTCATTCATGAATATGAAATAACAAAATAAAGTCTAAAATGAAAAAATGCACCTACGTGCTTTTACACAAAGCTGCTGTGAATAAAGCTGCATATGCAAAAATAATAATAGAATAATATGTATTTTACACATGTAGAAAATAATATATATATACTTATCGTTTGCTCTGACCTCCTTTCTGCATGTGAAGGCCTGCTGTCACATGTGATTAAAAAAGTGTTGATATCTTACTTCTAATCCGTCAGGGAGCGTACAGCATATTAATAACGTAACAATAACTAATAATATTTCCAGAAATTGAAAATCAAGATTTTGATGGCATCCACAGTATTTTTCTTGCACCTCATATTCAAGTATTTTTCACTTGACTTGACTGGCAGAGAGTCACATAATCCCGGCTTTGTTGCTAACTTTGTATCTGCTTCTGCATGTTATCTGGATTCACTCACCCGCTGTCTTATCTCTCAGCACTAAGCCTATTTGTTTCCATGTAGCATTACATTTTCGCTCCATAGAAAATGACAGATTACCTAAAGAGCTGTGTTTCAGGGCTGGATTGTGTTACACGCTGTGAACTACAGGAGACCCTTTTAGGATTTAGAGCCAGAGTTTCTTAGAATGCTTAAAAAAAAGGCTCCCAAAGTGCATTGAGGAAAATAAAAGTCTCTTTCTTCACCTCTACTTTCTCCGTCATTTACTTACAAGCTTTATTTTCTTAATTTCTTTCCTCCATCCAGAGACCCCCACACCGGACCCCAGGCAGCTGCTCTCCAACGTGACGCTGTCTCCGCTGCAGAAGGAGGAGCTGGCCAGGATAAAGAGGAAGCAGATGGCCAACGCCGTCCAGTACATCTGGGAGACGGGCGAGGACAAGTACATGCTGCGCTACTTCCACACCGGCTTCTGGCTCTCCTGTGAGAAGCACAATGAAGGTGTGCGTGTGTGTGTGTGTGTATGTGTGTGTGCGACGGAAGCAAAAAATAAAAGTTCATTGGTTACACAACTGGGTTTGTACTCAGAGGTTCATTGTTAAAAGCACCTGCATGGTACCAGTTCAGTACCTGAAATAGTTTTACCCAATGTGAAGTATTTGTAGGACAAGTAGAAAGGTACTTAAGGTATCAAAAGTAAATGTACTGACCTTTGACAGTGGCTTAAGATCTAAAACTTCACATCTGAAGTTGAATATTACCTTCTAAATTATAGTGGAGTATAAATCTAAAGTAACATAAAAGAGAAACTCTCAAGTAAAGTAAAGTACCTCAAAACTGTACATTTTGGCATTGTATGTTTCTGCAAACCGTGGATGTCGACTTTTTAGCATTCGTTCAGAGGTGACGTAACTATCGAGCGACGGTTATTAAAGGTTACCTGGTATGAAAGTTATGTAGTATAACAACGA